TTCAGAAATCACCTAAGAAAACGTTTTATTATTAGTTACATAAACGTGTGGATATATGTGAGAGGTAAAATATTAAAACAAATATTACTCGAGAGAATTTTTAAAAGTTGCTAACTTGTTTTCCCTCTTTCTCCTCATCTCTCTTCCACTGGGGGGAGGAAGTAGGAAGGGGAGTAGGTAGAAGGAATGAGGGAAAGAAGGAGAAATTCAATACATTCCCAAAGATGAGTATATAACTCAGTGAATTGAATTGTTTGGTCACATACAACAACCCTGCCTTTGTGGGCAATAGCTGACAAGTTAGCCAGCTTTCAGGGAAAGTTGAAATAGCTGCTTCTCAAAGTTATCTTTCTTCATGCCTCACGGAATTATGCTACCATTAATAGCCACACTGCAAGTCACTAAGTGAATTAAATCGAGTTAATTATTGCCTGTGCTATTTAAACAAAACTTTGGAAGCTCTGTGCATAAAAAGAAAAAAAAATCACAGTCTTTGAAACAGAAAAATAAGTTACAAATTAAAAGGGAAATCATTGTAAAGTTTTTGCCTCACATCACTGGTTTGGCTGAAATGTCCACCCAGGCAATTTTGAATTACAAAACCTTATCTTTCAGGATCTTGGTTTCCCAGCTTTCTTGCCTCTGGCAGCCAGTTCCTTTTCGTTGCCTCCAGGCTGCTTAGGGAACCGCCCTCAATCAACTTCAGTACAAAAAAGTTTGCACAGAGCTGACTTTTTTGGAAACTATGTCCTTAAATCAGAACCCATCCGTACATTGCCCTCTTCCATATCAGCCCAGTCTGAGAGAGGGGAGGCATTTCATAAATAAATCCTTGCTAATAGTTTACCAAGTCAGAAACTAGCATAATAGGTTAATTTCCTGGGCTGCGTGCATTTTAATAAAGTACTCCTGGAAAAGTCAAAATATGTGCCCTGGCCCATGGGACTCAGTTGGTTGGGCATAGTTCTGTGCACCGAAAGGATGCTGATCGGATTCCCGGTCAGGGCTCATACCCAGGCTTCATTTTCCATTCCTGATTGGGGTGTGTTCAGGAGGAAACCTATGGTTATTTCTCACATCGATGTTTCTCTCGTCCTCTTTCTCTCTTTTCCTCTCTCATAAAAACATTTTAAAAAAAGATTTTTTAAAAGTTAAAGGATGTGAAGTGGTTTTGGTGTGATTTGGAGCTTTTCCTTTATAATCACTGAAACCATCTCTCTTTTTTTTAAAGAATTGTTTATTGATATTTAGAGGGAGGGAGGGGGAGAGAGAGAGAGAGAGAGAGAGAGAGAGAGAGAGAGAGAGAGAGAGAGAGAGAGAGAGAGAGAGAGAGAGAGAGAGAGAGAGAGAGAGAGAGAGAGAGAGAGAGAGACATGGATGTGAGAGCACAACATCAATAGTCTGACTCCTGCATGCCCCCTACTGGGGATGGAGCCTGCATGCAGGACATGTGCCCTTGACCAGGATGTAACCAGCAGCCTCCTGGCCCAGGGAAAGATGCCCAACCAACTGAGCCACACTGGCCAGGGCTAAAATTTTATCTCTTATGTGTATAAAACTTCACTCTGGGCCTTATTTGCCTTTGTAAACAGTGCTGTGTCTCTCAGAGTCCTTAATCTTTCTGACTCCATAATTTATAAGCTAGAAAGGGAATTGTTTTATTCCTTTATACAAATATTTAGTTCAGAATCTTGTAAAAGTAATGTTTTATTCATCTTAGGCTACTAAAACAAAACACTGTAAACTGGGCGGCTTAAAGAACAGACATTTATTTCTGCCAGTTCTGGAGGCAGAGAAGGTCAAGATGAAGGTGCCGGCTGATTGGGCTCCTGGTGAAAAGTCTCTTCTTGCTTGCAGATGGCCATCTTCCTGTTGTATCTTTACAAAGCAGAGACCGAGAGAGAAAGCACCCCAGTCTCTTCTTAATCCCATCCTGAGGATTCTATTCACATGAATAGCAGACACAGCTATTCACTCTAAAATCAAAAGAGCCACGGGCAAATTGATACTTAAGATAGGGCAATGAGAGTAGGTCATTGAGGATTATCTTAAATGGATTATCTCCCAAAGGCCCCATCTCCTGGTACGTCCTTGTACCATCACACTGGGGAGTTAGGGTTTCAACCTATGAATTTTTGGAGGACACAGATGTTCAGTCCATAACAATTACCTTTTAACTGTAGGATTATTTGGTAAAATTGAGCTTTTGGGGAAAAAAAAAAAAAAGATGGAATAACTTGGCAGTGAGTTAATCCTACCTTACTCCAGCCACATAATTCTACTCTTGCCCTCCCTGTGTGCTAGTCCTTGTGTAGCTCTCACCCTTGCATGGATTTCTTTATAGGGGTAAAGACAAAGAGATAACAGTCCCTTCAGTGTGCATTAGTGAACAAAATAAAGAGATATTAAAACCTCTTACCCTAGCAATGAAGCCACATTTCAGTTTATCTCGTGATCCATATACATTTACTCACATTACTGTGTCCCCATTATTTGTTCAAAACCATTCATATGGCATATTTGCTCTCTGAGTTAGGTTTTTAATTGAGCTTGCCTAACATGATGCTAAGGAACATGAAGCTGGTTTCCTGTGGTGCCTTTTTGCAAATGGAAAATAAGTTCTCCTCATCAGACACCTTGGCACGAAGGTGAAAAACAGACATGGTTTTGTGAAATAAGACTATATGCCAGAAAATTGCCTTAATGAATGTAAAATGTTCAGTTTTTAGGAATCTACATATAATAATACAGGAGAACATATACTAAATACATGAAATTATCCAAGACAATGAAAATGTCCATAGTGTTTTTTGCACATCCTTAGATGTAACCTCTCTCTCTCTCTCTCTGTCTCTCTCTCTCTTTTTTCAGCATGCAATCTAAGCAACCACATTGAGTTATCCTCCTCCTATGAGAGGCTGACTCTTCCTACCCAATAAAGAAACACCCTTTACTTGTGTAGCTGAGGGACTATTATTGTCCTTTCACGTAGTCTTAAGCAACTGTGTTGTTTATAAGGAAGCAGAGAACAGAAGACTCAGTGCGTTCACTGTAACATTCTTTTGTGATGAATTGTGCAGATTTTATTAACTGGGATCTACAAATTCTGGAGACATAAAATTGCCAAGGTAGCTGGATGGGTACTAGGAACTCTATCACAGCATGCAGACATAGCTATTCACTCTAAAATCAAAAGAGCCACCGGGATATTGATATTTCACATAGGGCAATAATAAGCAATTATTAAATATTATATTATTAATTTAAACCATGTAACAATTTTATTAATAAGCAGTTGTTTGCCTTTTAAAAATGTATTTAATTCTAAAAACCTTCCTACCAGTCCAGTGAGGTCATTGGTGAGTTGTGTGTGTGTGTGTGTGTGGGGGGGTGTTTAAATTTCTTCCTACCAACCCCCAAAACAACAGTGCCATAAGCCAGTGCCTGACTGGTAAAGAACCCATGGCCATCCAGATAAGGATAATGAACCTCTGTGGTTCCATAGGTTTCCCACTTAGTAAATTCTTGCCCATCTCTTGGATAGAGTCAATCTAGAATAAAAACATGTTATAGCCCAGTGTTTTCTCTTTGGTCCAGGAATCAGGAAGCCATAATGAAGAAATTGTTTCCAGTAATTTTGTAATGATAAGAAGTCACTTTGGGAGATAAATTGAAAATTGTACATAATAACAAAAATGACTGAAACATTGAGTATTGACAAGTAACAGGAGCATGGAAAATAATTGTTATAAAGATAATAAAAATATAAAGAAATATTTTGGGGCCTAAGCATATGAAAAAATAACTAGAAATGTAAAAATTTCTTTAAAATTTGGATTGTGTATAAAAATATTCATGGAAAAATAGAAGACATTCTTGGAATAAGCAGAAATTAGTCTGAGCCTTGAAGGCTCTGTAATATTGAAAATAAATAGAAATAGTCTGGCCAGTGTGGCTCAGTGGTTGAGCTATGACCTATGAACCAGGAGGTCCTGGTTTGATTCCCAGTCAGAGCACATGTGGGTTGTGGATTCGGTCCCCTTTGTGGGACCGAATGGTTCTCTCTCATCATTGATGTTTCTATCTCTCTCTCTCTTTCTCCTTCTCTCTTCCTCTCTGCAATATATATATTGCAGAGTATATATATATACTAGAGGCCCGGTACACGAAATTTGCACACGAGTAGGGTCCCTAGGCCTGACCAGCCATCAGGGTCGATCTGTGGGATGACCAGCGAGACAATCATGGGGCCTCTGCAGGCGCCCGCCTTGGCTGGCATGGCACCGCCTGCTCGCCAACCCTGTTCTGCTGCCACCGCTGGTTGCCTCCCTCTACGGGGCAACTGGCGGGGCGATCGGGTGGCCCTACTGGCATCCACCTTGGCTGGCCGGGGGCTGCAGGCTGGGGCAGCTCCTGCATTGAGCGTCTTCCCCAGGTGGTCAATTTGCATATTAGACTTTTATTATATAGGATATATATATATATATACATACGTATATATATACCTGAAGAAAATAAATGGAAATAAAATGGTAGGGCATTCCAGCCAATAAAAATGGAACACATATATAGGAATACAGATCTGTGTTCAGTGTAGCTGAGACAGTTTATGTTGCAAACAGCAGAATCTATATGGTGACATCAGAACATGATGAGTTTTGATCTCTAGGTAATTCTTGAAAAAAAGTATGTATACCTCATTAATATTCTATGTATATTTATTCTACAGACCCCATTAAGTATCACTGTAGAGATGTGCATTCTGGAACCCTGATAATTTCAAACCTTTAAAATTTCAAAAAGTTTCAAAGTCAGTCATTTAAGCCAGTTTCTAATTTGTTTTACCTTCTTGCTAAGTCAGGTGTCTAAACATTTGTCATAAATCTTTTTCATTTCCCCTTATTTTTGATGATTTATCCTTGAAAAGCAGGTGGTATGAATGATCATCTTTCAAAAACTTGAATTGTATGCTAATGCTTTTATTTTTTTATTCCCAATAGACAGAATGTGCAAATTTTATTCGAGTCCTTCAACCCTATAATAAAACTCACATTTATGTGTGCGGAACTGGAGCATTCCATCCAGTATGTGGATATATTGATCTTGGAGTCTACAAGGAGGTAATATAATAAAATTGCTTGAAAACAATTTATTGTAATACTTTATTATGAAACATGGAGTCATATAATTTGTGTATGGTATAAGAACTCATGTTCCCAACCACTTTATGGATTGCCATTTTGATTATATACTTTATCTATCTAATAAAAATTGTTTTATTAAAAGTTTTTTTTTAGTGAGATGATCAAAATTAATAGTGCAAAATGTTGAAAGTGCATGTTTTCTATGGGCTCTATGTATGTCTTCATTTTCTCTTGAGGTTTTTTACAACTAGATCTGTTTTGTATGTTGCTATTGGTAAAAATCCATTTCCCACAAGACTTTGCAATGGAATTGTATCTTTAAGAAATTTCATTTTTCCCAACCAACAAATTTGACTTGTTATGTTTATAATGGCAGACATTAAGTACAGAAAATGCAATGATTTCCTATCAACTGTATATAGATAGTCATATTAGCACACTGAACCCATTATTTCTGCTGGACCAAATTGACATAGTGGAAATAAAGTATATATTAATTAGGAATAATGTATAGCAGCTCTCTCTGAGCATTTCAGTAAATGAGAAACATGCAGATTTCAGAAATGTAATTAATATCTAATCTATCAGAAGGTTTTTGTGTGTCATAGATTATCCCATACATTTTACATGAATTGTTTCCTTAGAATTTCACAACACTCGTAATGAAGTTAGTATCTTTATCACTTCTAATTTATAAGTTACGAAACATTGAGTCTCAATGGAATTAAATAACATGGCCAAGATCACCCAACTAATAAATGCTCTAGCAAAGAACTCAACCAAAGCACTCGGTCTCTAGACCAAGCTTGCACAACTGTGCTTTTGGAACCTGTACGCTAAAGTGTATCCTTGTATAGGGTGATGGTTGCACTGTCATCCTTATGCTTATGTATATACTTCTTGTGAGTAACCCCGCATATTTGCAGAATTGGCTTCATGATTGATATTAAAGTCTGAGTTTATGGAACAGGTCTATTTATATTGATTTAACTGATTCATGCAGAAATCAAATTTGCAACTGTGGCTGGATAAACTTTCCTCTCTAACCAACTTGTCTAACCAGCCCAGACTCAACTGTTTGAAAATAAAGCAACCCTGATAGTTAAATCCCTGAACCACTAGGAGACTTGGCAACTTGAATCCATCATTCTTTGTTGCTTGTGTAATGTTCTCTTGGCTAACTTTGATGAAGGATAATGTATAATGGTAGCTCACAGCACAGGGTGTAATTATATGAGATAGCCCCACAGTTTGGATGTGTTTTGAGGCCTGAGGCTAAAGGCCAAACTCACAACCTGCTGAGGGATGCAAAGACTGTTCTTTAGCTCCTAAAAGTCACAAGTGCTGAAAAGGAATTTAGATGGAGCTAATTATTTAGCTTCAGACTGTCAAGAAGCCCAGGGGCAGTGAAATTTACAAGTTCTGTGAGAATAAGAGAATTATGAGTGCACAGGCTTATGGAGCCTTGTGAGTTTGCTGCTGGTCAGGAGTACAGGTAATTGTAGTCAGCCCTGCTTCAAGATTGTTAACTTTGTGAATGAATTATTGGTCCTAGGAATTCATTGTTCCTCCAGAGGGAATTTACAAGGCTCTTCCATTTTCAAAATAGACAAGGTTGCTCTGGAGGTGACTGAGAAGAGGGAACTAATATATAACAGGGATGAAGAAGGGAAGTATGGGAAATCCCCTTTCTGGGAACTCCTGTTCAGTGCTGCTGGGGCAATGGGCAGAAGGGTCAAAACGCTCAAATGAATCCCAGATTTCTGCGTTTGGCAGTGAGTTGGAGAGTGGTGTTATTTACTGAGGTGAGAATAGTAACCAGTTTGTGGGGAGACTGGTGAGTTAGTTTTGTACGTGCTGCATTTGAGAAATGGTCAGTAGGTCATGCCAGTGGGAAGTTAGATCTGGATTTCAGGACAGAAGTCAGGGCTGCTGTCAACAACTAATCATTGGAGCTCGAGGAGCCAGAGTTTGAATTATCGCTGCAGTCACTTACCAGCTCCATGGTCTTGTGCACACTGCATAAGCTTTCCAAGCCTCTGTTTATTCAGCAAAACAATGATAGTAATACTAACTACCTCACAGAGTAATTTTGAGGACAAAATGACAAAAATTATAGTATAGGCTTTGGCATAGTAGTTGCTTCATTCCAGCCCCTTAATACTCAGCTGAAATAGCCCACAGAAGCACAGAAAGGTACAAAAGCAAGGATTTCAAAAGTATTGTATTAATGTCTGCTATATATATAGTACACATATACATATACATATACATATACATATACATATACATATACATATACATGTATTCTTCAAAACTTGGAGTGCCTGATAGCTGTTAAATAATTATATTGGAAGTATATTCCATTTTCCTTCTCCTGATGCAAATCTAATCTTTAAATGAGAAAAGTATTGATAAAAACTTTGCCTAGTTGTGATGATTAAATATTTCCTATCACTCTTGCTTTGTTTCAACGGTATTTCAGTGTGCAGCCTCAGTAGATGCTTCTTTGCAAAAATAATTAGGTTAAGGAATTAAATGGAGAAAAAAAAAATCTTATGAGTTGAAGCTGTCTCAAAAGTTAGAATGCCATGTAAAGCAGTCAGTTTATCTGAGGCAGCCCATTTAATCAGACTTTATTTTTTACATCATCTTCCCGTTGGTGTCCTTGACTCTGGCCCAGGGAAACTTGCTTCCCCACTGTCTCCTTACTCCAGGAGATTATAAGGGAGGCCTTGTCCTCAGCCTGCACAAATACCCATTTTACAGGCTTATCTTGAGAATTTAATGAAATGTTGCATTATGAAAACAGAAGTCTGTACAATTATAAGGGAGTATTTAGTACTTTGCATCAACTGTGACATTCTCTCAGATATTTTCTTAGGTTTTTTTTAGCTTTTCACTCTGATCTTCTGCCACAGCAGGATTCAGCTTACTTTCCCCCTTTACAATATCCTATTATAGGCTTCAGAGTCAACACTTCTGTTTGATCTGTGAAGAATAATGTTCCCTTAACAATATTTAAACAATCTTAAGAACCACTACCTACAGGTGTGTTTTTCCTGACATAACTTTAGCCTCGTCTACAATTGGAAAGCAGCCCTAAATGTATTCGCACTGGACTTTATTTCATGCCTAGTCTCTGCTCTCATAGCTTGCCATTAGCTGACCTGTTCTAATTAAATATACATGGGCTTGATCATGTTACATGGTCACTGTGAGGCTACTATAAATTCATTTCAACACATTTTAAGTTCATGAGTTTGAATTCTGAGACTACATTAGTTAAAAGCATGAACTTTGGAGACAATGCGAGTTCAAACTACTGCTTTAATTCTTACTAGCTATGTGATGCTGAACAAGGTAATTAATCCCTCTAGCCTCAATATTTCTCTTGTAAAGTTGGAATTCTCAGAGTAGCTTCATTATTAGGCTTATGGCATGGATTCACTGAGACAACACACAGTGGGGCCTTGACCTACGAGTGTCTCAACTAACGAGTTTTTCGAGATAGGAGCCGTCTCTCAGCCAATTTTTTGCTTTGAGTTGCGAGCTAAAATTTGGGTTACAAACCAGCGTCACAATGAACGCCACAGCATCAGCCCAGCATCACGTGTCTCACTTGTTAACTTTTTGATTTGACATACAAGTAATTTGAGTTACAAGCTCCGTCACAGAATGAATAAACTCGTAAGTCAAGGCCCCACTGTACATAAAGTTTCTGGCCCATGGTTAGTACCTACTGACTGTTAGGAACCTTACTATTTAGTATTAAAATGCATTTTCTTGGAACTGGAGAATAACAATTGTTAATCATGCTATTTAAATTGCTATTGCTATTTTTTTAAAGGCAATAGCTACTGTTGGTCTTGTTCATAAGAAAAACATCTGACATGACAGATAATACAATAAATAATA